GGTCAACGTCGACGCCCGATGAACGTGATAGAGTTGGGTCATGGTCTGAGGGGCAGCAATCATCCACTCTGAAGGGCTCAACCGTTATGTCTTATAGGGCAGTAATTTCGGCCAGGGAGGCACCTTGTGGAAGAATTTGGGCAGTGAGGGCAAAATTGGCAATAGGAAGGCATGTGTGGTTTTCAAAAATTGTCAAAATAGCGTGCGGAATAGCAACGCCATGCGTAAACATCATGGCATAAATTGGTGCCTCCATGTAATCGCCGTCAGGTATAGGTGGCGTAGAGAAGGGGTCGATGCGTGTAACACTGTTATGCGGAAGGCGTACGAAATCAATGCAGCAAAGACGGCTTTGGGGTGGGTTGGTCGGATCGGAAAGTAGAGGCATCTCATGGTCAAGACAGCCGGCTGAGCAATCTATAAGGGCCGAGTGAGCGCTTAGAAAATCTATACCTTGAATTAGATCATGAGGGCGATTTTCTATAACGGTGAAATGAACAGCAGTGCTTCTATCGGCAATAGTCACACGGGCAGAGCACATGCCAATAATAGCGGGTGTGATAACTTTCTTTAGGCGGCGACGAAGAGCAGCACTCATTATGGACGCATGCGCGCTGGTATTGATCAACGCACGCACAGGTACATTGTCTAACGTAACGTTCACCAGATTCCGGGTAGCCGGTAATGTTACACGAGGATTTCTTGAAGAGGTCGTCATCAATGCAGCTCCTCCTCCAGAAGTTGCACATCCTAGTTTCCCGGTCGGGGGCACTGTTAATAGGTCGGAGAGGCAGGACGGCGTTGTGGGGGCGAACAAGATTGACGGCGAGCAGGGGATGATGAGCGGGCATAGCGAGGTCTCGTCAGAGGTGCGGCAGAATCAGAGGATGTGGTTGGCATAGGGGAATCAAAATCGAATGCTGAGGACGACTGGTGGACAGAAGTGGCCTTGGTAGGAGGCCCATAGTGTGCCGGCGGAGCCCAGTGATTGCAGCAGTGGCAAGCAATATGACCGACGCGTCGGCAGTTGAAGCATATAGGCTTGTCGTTCAGTGTACGCCATTCGGACAAATTGTGCTGTCGAGAGTAGTTGGAACAAAAGCGAGGAGCAGATGGACGACGATTAAAAGGCTCGGCAGAGTAGACTGGTTGAACGGGGTGTAGGCTGACGTTCAATAATTCTTGACGAACGACGGCTTGAATCAGTGAGATCGTGGTCAGTGAAGGATCAGGCGTTGGGAATGGAGTAACTACTGGTTGAGCTGCCTCGACCTCGCGACGAATGGTGCGGGTGAGGTGTTCACATCGGGGAACTTGGCGGACGGCGTCATCGCAAAAGGAAGTAGCAGCTGTGTTCGGCAGGCGTGTGATGCCGTGGGTGAGGCTGCAGGCTTTAGCCTGTTCTAGACGGTGGCATTCTGTCAGGATCGTGTCGACGCTCGTGACATTATTAAAAACCAGCAGGTTGAAGGCATGGTCAGCAATGCCTTTGAGGACGTGATTAACTTTTTCGCCTTCCGACATGCGCTGCTCGACCTTGCTACAAAGCACCAAGACGTCAAGATTGTATGAGACGTACAATTCAGTAGACGTCTGGGCGCGAGTGGCGAGAGTTCTTGGCAGCGAGCTGACGACCAGATGAATCGCCGTAAAGATCACGGATCTTCGTTTTGAAGAGATCCCAGCTTGTGATTTCGGCTTCATTGGTTTCGAACTATGTCCATGGCATGCCGTCGAGATAGAACACAATATTGGCGAGCATGAGCGTGCGATGCCAGCGGTGGGTAGCACTGACACGCTTGTACCGGTGCAGCCCGGAGTCAACGTCGATGGTACCGTCAGTGGAGAAAGTGCCAAGATCCCACAGGGGTGGCAGGGTGACGTTGGTTGTCGACTCGGCTGTAGAGGCCGGTGGTGATGAGGCACTGGCAGTTGAAGTAGCCGAAGAGTCCCCGATGTTGCGACTGCTGCGCTTCTCCATCGAGGTGCGGGAGTCGTCCACCTCCACCAATAATGTTACGAGTAACTTAATTATTAAATTATGTGCTCGGTGAACAAGATGGCCACAGTTCATCAACAACCAGGAACCGACGTTGTCTTTCTCTTTCATGCAGCAAGGCTGTGCTGGCTGTTTTGTATCAACATGTGTGTGTGTGTGTGTGTGTGTGTGTGTGTGTGTGTGTGTGTGTGTGTGTGTGTGTGGGTGTGGGGTACATTTTCACTCATTAGGATATTTTTAGCGGTGAATATACTACCTAAACACTGTTATGAACTCCTGTTCGTATAATAACTTATTTATTCTCGAGCCACTGCTATTGAGGCTATACACTCCGTCGTGAGCTTGGCAAATGTACTGGTCGATAAGTGCAACCAGTGTCACTAAATTTTCTAGCGTGTTAGTGTGCAAATGACACTAGCGGTGAAGTGAAGTGCCTCAAACGGCTTTTAAGTTGCCCAGTATGACAGAAATATAAGCAAAATCCACCAGTGAACACTGCCTTGCTTTCCTAGTTGCCCATGGGTTGACAGGCTCATGTGCTCGGTGCAGCCCGTGAGCCCGAGCAAGTGTAGATGAACCTGGCTGAGTATAGTTTTTGTGAGTATTCAGATCTAGGTTTGCTGGATAGAGCAAGATTTTGGCAAGTCAAATCCTGCTGAGCCCTTAGCAGAGAAATGTTTCTTTGAGGGAGTCCTGTTTGTGCAGACCTGTGTTAGTGACACTGGTGTTCAGTAGTACATGCCCCTAGGGTTGACTAGTGAACCAGCGATCACTAGTCAGCGCTGCTGGCATGTACAGTCGCGCTTGATATAAGTTGCCACATACCGCCCATGATCAAAGCTGTGCCAACACTGCATGGCTGCGTTATCATAGAAAACTGTCAGTGTCATGAACGCTGTCTGAACTACAGGTGTTCCCAAAGCCAGTTTCACATAAGCCTGTATAAGGAAGGCTTAGGGCCCCTTCAACCATGGTCGCCATGTTGCAGCCCATATTCTGTGCCACTGAACTCTGTAGTCTCTATGGGCAACACATAAGGCATCACGGGAGCTTCTGAAAATATTTTTTCTCACGAAGTGTGCAATCCGTACTCATTATCAGAGTTTTGCAGCTTTGCATTTTGTTGCAAGGCATCAGGATGGGATGCAAACTTCGTTTTTGGCCGCAGCGGCCACATTTCAAAGGGGGAGAAATTCTGAAAATTTGTATACAGTAACAGTAAAACAAAAATCACTTAAATGGAATGGCCACTTAACTGGAGCAACAGCTTTTAATATTATTGTTTTCGTACTTGTATTCGGCCTCCCTGTTCATCCCTCAGTAAGTGAAACTCCTGTTAAGCGGAACCTATTTTATTGCTCCCTTCAGGTTCCGTTTGACAAGAGTCCTTTCTATTTATGTTTAGGCACTTATTAAAGTACACCAGGAGTCCGACTTTAGTTATTTAGTTAGTGTTTCCCGCTACAGTGTCTCATAATCAGATTTCATAATCAGATTTTTGACACTTGAAAATACGGATGTACAATAGTGAATTTTAGAAGTGAACCAAATTGAATATTATTTCAGTTATTTTTTAATAGTAAGACAACCATTTCCAAACAGCCCCACAATTCTCTTGGCTGCTGCTGCTTCAGCAAAGCACGCTGGTTACAATCGTCGCCAGCGTTGGGATTCAATCGTTGGATCCTGCGTGCCGTTGGACTCCGCATTCGTAGCGGATCAAGCAGCAGCCAAGGGGCAGTGATGGGCAAATCTGCACTAGGTGTAAAGCTTGCAACTCTGAATGTGTTGAAATCCTTGTCTTTACTGGTGTATAACAGGTACGCCTTAGAGGTGTGTAACAGGTAACAAAAAATGACGAATAATGTCATAGATAGTGTTCGCAAAAATTATGGCAACATACGACATAACTTTTTTTTTTTTTGTTAATGGACATCTTACTGCCAGCTTCAACAACTTTGCTGCTGAAGCGCTCGCTCACTCCGATGCACAATTAGCGGATCAAGAATTCACCAGAACTGTTGTGTGGGAGCAGTGCACTCCATTTCGTTTGTCTGTAGTATAAGGGAATACAAGTTGATGTTTCATAATAAGTTAAAAAGACTAACAACTATTCGGAATGCATGATTATATCCTGATGGAAATGAAATGACCGTGCATTAAGAGTGACCGACTCAAGCACACTTTTCTTGATTGCAGTAGGATTTAAATTTTTAAGTCGCATTATAAGTCACAAAGTAAGCAGTATATTGTGCAGCCTAACGCGAGAACCTTGAAGCTACATTATGGAGTCGCTCACGTTGCTGCTCGTAGTCTGATGCTTTCATCCACACCAAACTAATACCTCAAAGTTAGAGTGTATTATTATTCATCCCAGCTCTATTCTGTGCTGCTTACAAAGTAAAAGTTGTTGCACAATAAGATGCGGCGCTGCCTTCACGACAATAATGCAATATGTCGAGCCTCAGCACACGTGCCCAGAGTGCATGCATGTGCAGCAAATCACAGAGCACAAACGTGAACTGCTGCCACGCTCACATCCAGCTGTTTGCACCATGTGTTGTGTACTACTTCATATTTGTCGCAAGTGGAGAATTTTCATTATGAATATTTCAGTGTTTTACGTAAAAGTATTAGGTTATTAGGCACTCTGACCACTAAGCTTTTTGTTGCAATAAAGAAAATGTGTAGCATGAAAATTGGTTGTCAGTCTCTTTAAGGATTCAGGGCATTGATTTGTCCTAAGAATAGAATACCTGTAACAGGTCCTAGTGCAGGCTTGAAAAACTCCAAATCTATGGCAATGATCAGTGTGAGATGAAATGGAGGTTAAAGGCAAGGTGAGGTTTATGTTCAGGGAGGAGGCGAGAGTGTTTAATTTACGAAGTGAATTGAAGCACATTTGCTTCGAATCTGATGTAAAGCACTCAATCATCTATGTGCAGTTCAGAGTTCATCCCTCTGGTTTGCATATCCCATTCAACTGCTCGTCCATACGCAGGCTCTCAACCGCAACCAACGCGTTCGCAAGCACGGTGGAGACGAGAACAATGGCAGCAGCGGGCCGGCGACCCCGGCTGCTACCGCGTGCGTGTCGGTGCCGTCTTCTGGCGCAACGTCGAACAGCGGCGGCAGCCACCAGGTCGCAAGCACAGCCACACCGACCATGCCCACCTCCTTCTCTGGGGCGGCTGCCCCTACTGCCAGCAGTACGGTGCAGCAGCAGCAGCTCCAGCAACCACAGCCTCAGCAACAGCAGCAACAACAACCACAGCAGCAACAGCAACAACAACAGCAGCAACAACAACAGCAGCAGCAACAACAGCAGCAGTTACAGCTGCAGCAACAGCCACCACCACGTCAGACGCCGACCCCCGGCAGCTGCAGCGACGCCACCAACCAGAGCAGCACTAGCAGCGTGGGCTCCTCACAGCCACGCAAGAAGCCCAAGACCCAACAGGTAGAGAGACCCGGTGTAACACTCGCTCTAGCCGGCTTGTGTCAAGAATATAGTGATTACTTTGTGAACTACATTCTGTATCACACATCAGGTGCAATACTGTGGAGGCTAGCAAGACTTTTTTCAATTGATGCATTCGAATCAAGAAGTAGTTCGGTGTCATTCCTACTCAAAATAGATTTTTTGTTCTCATTTAAGGCTCTATATTAAATGAGCATGTTTTGTACTTTACAAGTAAGCAAACCCCAGTGTATGGTTCTTACCACATGGCTGGATTAGTTAATGTCTTCACCTTTTCATTTTTCAGTGTTTTGTTTTGCAGGTGGTCGCAATGCGTCATGGGGAAGCACTTGCTCACCCACATTAACGTTTACTATGACAAAAGCCGACCACAATATGTGCGGAGTGATAAGTGTTGCTCACCGAACTACTTGCATAGCTTCCGCAGCATTGCGCCTGATGTGGGAAACGGAGTATGGAGGACATTATAATAATGACTGCACACGTCACCTCTGACACATCGTCTCTTCCAAGGCGGGAAATGCGGTACAACGCTTGTGTAGGTGCCCCTGTGTCTGTGCATTCTTAATTTCGTGGCAATAATCCACATGTGAACTGAAAGTTGGGGCGAAATGATGCTTGGAACTAACTGCAGAATTGTGAGGTAACCATATCAGTGATGCTACCACTGTGCCACAATGCACCAAAGTGCCTTGGCTGCTATATCTTGCTGCGTTTCCTCAAATTTTAACGAGTCTGCGCCCGACCTGCACCAAAGGGTCTATGTCGAGTTTCAGCAACCAAACTTACTACCTAAAGTTCTCTCACTGAATGTGGCATCTCGGTACACCTGCATACAACAAACACTTTAGCCAAGAGAGAAAGAAACAACTTCACTGAAGTGAGAAGGAGTACAATCTTTCACAGAGGGAACGCAGTTAGGCCATGCCTAACTCTGGCTCGTTGTATGGCCGGGAGCTGTATGTCGAGGCTCGGAATAGCCAAGACAAACTGCGCCTAACGTTGTCATTGTGGACGATACTGTGAACAACTTGATTTTTCGCAGTTCTTAAAGACTGGAAAATGGTCTTAAAAAAACCAATTGATGATTTTTTATTCTGCTCAAGTGGTCAAATCACCACAGCCATGTCTGAAGGGGCTGTGGTGAGAAACAGGGATGCAACAGGTGTGCCAATTGCGCAAATTCGATGCAATTTTTGATTGTCACGCCAAGCTGCACCGAAACGCCCAGCCAGCCTCGAAATTTTGTCGGGTGCGTTAATTTCGGCGAAAAATGCAGGCCACAGTCGGCCATCTGCAGCTTGCACCATTCATCAAAGCGCACGGACCTTAACTTGAGTGCCTTGAATGTACTTAAAATATGACCAGACAAAGTAACAATGCTGCGCGCCCATCGGTCCATTGATCGTAGCGGATACCTATTGGCAGGATGTTGGAACTTCAAGACAACAATGCTTTGTTGTTGCCACCAACGCTTCACGGGAAATATAAATTTCCTAGCCTGGAAATGCGGCTATGGCTTGTTAAAAACTAAATTTGGAAGTGTATGTCACGTTTTCCTCGCGTGAACAAGGTCCACGTACTGCGAACGCCGGCGTTTCCAGCGACCGGGTCGATTGCCTTAGCAGCGGCGCATAAAACTTTTTTTTTAATTTGCGTCATCCCGGCCATGGTCCTGGCGATAGATATTCGGTACCATCGCCGGGCCAACAGGCACGTGCCGTTGTTACTTTACCTGGTCGAAAGCGCTTTGCAAGGGAGCGAAAGTGGCACCTAACCCCCAGGTAAAAGAAAAAAAAAAGGTGGGAAAGGGAGGGGGGGGGGGGTGGCGGTTAGAAAATTAATTTCTTGGATTTAGTTCTAACTCGTGCAGAGAATGCCGCCTTCGCTGCAGTACAACGGTGCCCAGTGGAAAAGCGTATTGAGATTTGGAAGGGGCTGTTAGCACTATTCACAGGGCACTGCACATTTTGCTAGGTTACTCATGCGTTTGTGCGCCGCATAATTCTGAGTACCAGTATAATAGCTGGCATCTAAATAAGCTACTGGCACTTACATGGAGCAGTTTGTGACATTTCTGCTTCCCTAAAAGACAAACTAAATTGTATGCCGTTTTTTTTTTCCCGCCACCCCTGATCATCGGTTTCACAAATCTCCCAAATTTTAAGGTGACGAGCTTGGCAGAGTGTACCAAATGAGTTCACAGGTGCAGAAAATGCTAATATAAACTTTATCACTGTTTGCTCAGTGGGGTGGTTCAAAATACTACTTTCATTGAAATAACAGTGCTCATGCTAACACTGCACGATTTAGTTGATGTTGAATAGTTTATACATTTTTTTTTCAGGATGTAAGCCTTCTTAATTACACTGCTCTAAGTTTGGTATTTCGTGGCGGAAAAAAAATGTATGGTTTTTTTCCCTGTAACTTGCTCTAAATTTAGATTTTAGTGCTCCAATAGTAACATTTTGCTGCTCCGAAAATTGCTCCAAATAGCATTTCGGCTGTTGCATCCCTGCAGAAAGCTTAACCATGGTTAACTCATTTAATTGGGGTTAGCACCAACCGTATTCTGCCAGAGTCACGCACACTGCTATCCTGTTTTGCATCTATTCTGTCCACGCAAGGTGCGTACCCATGCTTTCACGTTCCTGTTTGCTAGATACCTTTATTGTGCTTTGTGTAACGCGAAGCAGGTGCCATCTCTACAGAACTGTAGTCTGGTACAATTCCAGAAGGCGGCAGTATTATGATCTAGAAGGAGGATGTGCACAAGTCTGCACAAGCACTCAAAAAAACATGCATAAGAACAGGAGCGGGACCATTTAGTCGTAGATGTGATTGGCTGCCGTGTTTCCGCTGTCTGGCCTTTCCTGCCTTCTTCAGTTAGCATCAACTAGTGACATTGTATGTCCAAAAAATGCACCGTGTCACATGGTGAACCAGAAACATCTTCGCCTGGGTGACCATCAGAGTTAGTACTACACCAGCCCAGTAAAAAAAAAAAGATAGCTCATGGAGTCTCTCCTTCACTTAAACATCGAAATAATGAACATGGATGTAATAAAATATCGGTTATAACGAAGTAAGTATTGAATAGTGCCAGGAATTTATGTTATAACAAATTTTCAGTAGTAACGAAGTTATTTTGGTATAAGATCTATCTTTGTTATGATGAGATTTGAGTGTACTTGTTGCGAATTCAGGCTTTTCACAAGAATAGAGTTTTGAACAGGTCATGTGGTTCTAGCCCCTCAACAAACAAAAGGGCTTTACTTGCACTTGTCGTTGCAAGAGAGTATACTTTCTAGTGAAAGAGTGGTGGGAAATTATCAGTGGGACTTGGCACTCTTGACAGAAAGTGTGCCGATGGTTTTTGAGAACAGATATGCAGGCTTGCCAAATGGCGATTTCCATCCAGCAGAACGCTACCCGAAGACTCCTGCTTGCCTTGGAATCTATGCTCTGCAACAGTGCAAATGGCATTCGAATTAATAGTATGCTTTGGCTTCTGTTCACTTTTACAAGTTGCCAGCACGCAGGTCAAAACTCCATAGAACTTGCCAACGCAATAATAAAAATGGGGGGGAATTATAATACCGCATTTATTCGCATAATTTGCTCACTTTTTTCGTGATTTTAGGGTGCCAAGATGGGGTTGTACAAATTATTCAGAGATTTGTCGAGCGCATACCAAATATTGTGTCACAGTTCTAACGTTCGCAGTACATATACATTTTAAAAAAGAAGAAATAAATTGGAGCACAAACAAGAGCTACTTGTAAATTTTGAAAGAATTAGCAAGCACTTTAACCAGTCAGGTCCGGTCACGCGCGGTCTAGTCGGAATCACTGATCACGAAGTCCAATTGAGAGTGATCGTCGCGGCCGCTGCCACCACCCTCCCATAGAGCATCGTCCCTGGTTCCGTCGAGCGCGTTTGAACGCCCCATCTTTTTTAAAGCTCTTTCGACAATGCTTGGAGAAACTAGGTCCCACGACACGGCGATACCGGAAGAACTAAGCATCCAAACATAATTGAAAAAGCCTTCTTCAATGGCTGAAAACTTGCGCTACTCTTCTGCTTTTTCATAAACCGATTGCGCCAGCCGTCACGTTGAAGTATTTGAAGTGCTTTGAAGCCGCACGCTTCCCGTTTTCGTGGGGGAAATTTACAACATTGAGCTTCAACTTCGCCTTATATAATTACTGTAGCACATCGCAAGAGAACTGTCAAGACACTTCGACCGGATGGAGAAACCTAAACTTCCAAAATCGACCGAGCATGCGTTGCAGCGGGAACGGAGAGAACAAGGGGAACAGTTGGCGCGACAGGCTTTCCCACGCCTCCGATGCAGAAAGTCATCTGTGTCGTGACGCGAGCGTGCATTCTCACCATTATCGCAGCAGTAGAGGTTGGGAGATTGGGGAAGGCGAACACTCGAGCAGTTCTGGCGACCCGTCAGAAGGTTTGTGTTCCGGTGCGGTATTCTAGAGACCCTAGTTTGGAGGAAGTCCTCGGAAGAAGGGACTTCGCACTTGCACCCTGTTTGACTGCGCTCATCTGCTCGGCGAAGCACACACTCGGCCAAAGCATCGAAATGTCCAAAGGTGCGCGCGCCAGCAAGCGGGCTCGGGCGGGTCAAGGAGCACGATATATGTTAGTTGTTTTTTTTTTTTCCGAAAATCTGGCAAAATATTAAGGGTGCGCAAATCATGCATGTAAATACGGTATGCTCAGACCTTGATATAACTAAATATCAGTTATAACAAATAATTGAAGGATAGTCTCGCAAAAAATACATTGTTAGGAACATATTTTTGTAACGAATTTTCAGATACAACGAACTTATTTTTGTGTAAGATGTCAGCTTGTTATAATGAGGTTTGACTGTACTTGTTTTATAAAACTCATAATTTGCAACTATTCTAGTCTGGTGTTAGTAGTGACTTCCAGCAGTGAAATTTTTTAATAAGAAC